TTCGGGTTTGATTTGCTGCTTTTTTCCTAGCTTCTGGATATGCACGGTTAGATCACTGATTTCCAGCCTTCCTTCTTTCTGGTGACGTGAGGTTAGGGCTTTACAATTATCTCCAAGCACAGGCTTAGCTGTGTATGATCAGATGGTAATGTGGTATGGGATATCATATTGTCATTGTATGCAGTTCAAAATATCCACATTTTCAATTTCTTCTTTAGCCTATAGATGATCACATTTGGTGTTTTTTTTTTATAGCTGTTTTTCTGTTACTGGTTGCTACTTGTTTTCACTGTCATCCATAATTCAGTCCTTAGAAACATGTGGAGCCCAGCCTCACAGCCCAACACCAGCCATTGTGGCCAACAGTCTGCATTCATTTGGAAAGGAATCTGCATTGTGTAGTCTCAGCTGATTTTTTTTGTCTACAGTTATACCATTTACTGAAAAGAGTTCAATTTTAACAGTCGAACATACAATCACGATTGAAGATTCATTTCTTATTTTAGTTCTGTCAGTTTTTGTTTTATGTACATAGAGGTAAACATAACCTAGAATTGTTATGTCTTTCTGCTGAACTGATATGCCATTATAAAACATTCCTTTTTATCTCTAAGAAAACTTCCAACTTCAAAATTGAATATGAGTATAGCCACACCTGCTTTCTTTTGATTGTGTTTGTATATATTTCTCCCATCCTTCAACTCAGAATCATTCTGGGTCTTTATGTTAAGGTGTGTCTTCTGTCCATAGCATAAAGTTGAAGTTTTTAAAAAGCTAATCTAATAACTGTGTCATTTAATTGGAGTATTTAGCCCATTTATGTTTAACATGATCATTGAGGTATATCTGGGTTCACACCCACCATCTTACACTTTGGTTTCTGTTTGTCCCGTTTGTTTTTTGGACTTTTTTACCTCCTCCTTTTTGATTAATCAATTCTTTCTTAAATCCCAATTTCTCTTCTATTCACTGGTTAGTTATGCATTCCTTTATTATTCTTCTAGTGGTTGCACTAAAAAATTTTAAATGCATCCCTGGCTTTTTATAGTCTGTCTTAAAAATAGTGCTTTTACCACTTTTGGACAATGCAGAACCTTCAGTGCCTTTCACTTCATTCGTCTCCCTTACTTCGTGTTTTATTTTTGTCATATATTATCTATTTATATTTTAATCCCATAAGACACTATTACTACTTTTTCAAAAGCCAATATTCATTTAAATTTGCTCATGTGTTTGCACTTTTCAGCATTCTTCTTCCATTGTTCTTCCACTTGGGATTATTTCCCTTCTGTCTGAAAAATTCCCTTTAGTATCTTTTTTTAAGGCCAGCAATGAATTCTCTCAGTTTTTGTTCATCGGGAAGCATCTTTATTTCACCTTCATTTTTGAAAGATATTTTCTCTATAGGCAGAATCCTAAGTGGGCAGTTGTTTTCATTCAGCGATTTCAGTGTGCTATTCTATCCTTGACCTCCATTGTTGTGTGGAAAAGTCAACCGTTAGCCTCATTATTGACGCATTTTTTTCCTTTGGCTGCTTTTAACATTTTTTTTATTGTCCCTCGTTTTCAACAGTTTCACTATGAGGTGCCTACATATGTTTTTCTTTGGGTGTTTACAGAGCTTTCCGTGGCCATCATGAAGCATGGCCTGGTGCCTTTCATCGGGTATGGAAAATTCTCCAACTCTTTCGCAGTATTGTTTCTGCCCCTTCTGTCTTCTCTCTTTCTCCAGAACCCCAAGCACACGTGCGCGAGGCATGTTCACCGGAGCAGGCGTGTCGACTGCGGGCTTGATCTGTCTTGCAGCCACTTTCTCTGTGCCTCGATTTGAATTTGTCTGCGGCTCTGCCTCCCAGTTTCCCGATCTCTTCCACCCTCTGCGATTTGCTCTTCTGCCTGTCTTTTGAATTCTTGTTTTCAGCTTCAGGATTTCCACTGGATTCCATTGGTAGATTCCAGTTCTCTAGTGAAATTCCCCATCTTCTCATTGACTTTCTTCAACATATTAATGTTATTTCCATAATGTATTTTCTTCAACAAGTAATGTCTGTTGACACCCACTGTCTGGATCTGCTGTTCGACTAATGCAATTGCTATTTGTTTGTTTGTTTGTTTCGCTTGATTTTAAACTATTTGACCCTGATTCCTGGCACTTGGGGAATATCTCATTGAATTGGAATATTGTGTGTGAAGCAGGGGTGGTTCTGGATGTTTGCTTCTTTCAGAGAAGATTTTGGCAGATAGAACATGGACGGACCAGCTTGTTTCCATTTGGGCTGGAGATGATTTGAGGCGAGGTTTCAGGATCTGGGGAAGGCTGGTCTCCTTCTGGAATGCAGCCTTCCCGGGTTCTCCATTGAGAGCCAGAGAGTCTACTGGGACCCCCAGCCCTGGGGCAGACCCGGAGCTCCAGGGCTGGCTTCCCCAGCTGCAGCCTCCGCCTGCCTTTGCATCCTCACGCTGCCCCCTCTGCTGTGGGTCGCAGCCGCTCAGCTGGGCGCATGGGCGGCCTGGGAATCACCTGAGCAGAACGCTCCGCTCATTTCTCCACGGCTCCCTTCTCTCTGGGATGGTAGCCCTTGAGTCCTGCCTGCCTTGGCTGTCCCCCAGGTCCCTCAGATACCATGTGGTTCCCCTTTTGTTTTTATTTGTGCCCAGCTTCTGTAGTTGTTCTTGGTGGAAAGAGCCCTCCGACAGCTGCCACTCTGTGTGGCCAGAGCAAGTCTCCCCCTTGTGCATCTTAACAGTTGCCTCCTGCCTTCCTTTTGTGCCGGGGCGAGGGGGTGCGTGCGCACAGACAGCAGCTCAGAGGGGGGGTCTTCAGACTGACAGCAGAGGAAATGTCTGCTCTTGGGGTCCAGTTGTCAGGGGAGCATCCCGACCTCTGTGTTTCCAACTGCTAAGCCACTGACCTTGCCTAAGCCACTGGATCTGTCAGGGCCTCACTCTCCTTACCTTCAAAGTGGGTAATGACGCCTATTTCACAGACTTGTGTGAAGACGGGCCATGGGGGGTGCGGCCAGGAGTACTTGAAGATAGAGAAAAAGCTTCTTTTTAAATAAGAAGATGCAATGGGCCCCGTGTATGGGAACAGTCAGGACAAGTGTTTTGGTCTGTGAAGGTGCCACACTCTGATATACATTTACAGCATCTGCAAAGGATGGGGGGTGGCCCAGGAAACCTCCCCCGCTTCCAGAAGAACCTGAAGACCCTTTCCCAGTGAGCCGAATCTCACCAAGCAGAGCAGAATGACCGAGAAACACTGCACACTGGTGCTGCGTGTTCTGGAAACATCAGACTGGAGTGAGGCAGGGTGCAGGGCCCAGAAGCTGCCTGTTCTCAGGGCTTCCGGCGGCTTTGCCTGTCTCGGTAAGGGGCACGAACCCCACAGCCCCGCGGTCTCTAGGGAAGCTGGGTCCCAACGGCTGGGACCTAGCCCTCCAATCCTGTCCTGAGAAGCTGCCTCCAGCGACCAGCAGCCTTGCAAGAGCTGAGCCTAACAGACTTTCTGAAAGATACGACTAAACGTACGTTAATGCAGGTCTCGTCACACAGGCTTTGCCCTGTGCCTGGAGACCCAGCCAGCCCCGAGGGTCTCCGGCTGTTTCCCTGGTATCTCGTCGCACATGATACCACACATGCCTCTCACTCAGGGCGCCGGGTGACCCCGTACCCCACCCACGCTGTTCTCCAGACCCCATTTGTTCTGGGGAAGTGGAACTTGGTCACACTGAGTCTTTTTTCCCCTCTTTGATCGTTTGTTGATGACTCAAAATCAGGCCACACGCCACAGCAAGATATGACACTGCAGGGGCGCCAAGGGGCCCGAGGCCTCCTTGCCCCTCCTCCTGGGATGCGGCCGCCCCTCTCTGGGAAGCTTGCTCGCTCTTCATTTCCCTCTTGCCCTGGTTTCTGTCTTTTCTCTTCCCTTTGGTTTCTCTGTCTTTCTCCGGGAAGTGATCTTGCCCCTCTGGAAGGGGGCTGATGAATGCAGGAGGGGTGCAGCCATTGCTTCCTCCCCGACATTTGGAGGTTGTTTTCACAGAGGGTGCGGCTGAGAGGATCCTCCTGCCGAGCTGGCAGGTTTATGGCTTTGGAGGGAAGGTCACACATCAGTCAGAGTCCTTCCTGCTGCCATCAGGGCCCCTGCTCACCCGGGCGAGCCCCAGCCCGCAGGGGTCACTCCCGTCCTGAGCTGCAGGAGTACCATGGCCTCTGCCTGGAAGAGCCCGTGCCCACCCCCTCCCAGCCCCCAGGGAAACTTCTCCAAAGGCCAGATGCTTATCTGAGAAACAGGTTCCTCAGTCCCTGTGTGGTCCTTCGCTGCTTTTAACCATTTTTTCTCCTTTGTTCTTGGTCCTGTGTTTGCTCTCGAGATCCTTCAGATGAACACCCTAGACAGCAGTGAACTTTAAGACTGTCCCTAGGGGCGGACAGATGACGACCCCCTTCCTGGCTGTGTCGGCCTCCAAAGTCAAGGCAATGGGCTCAGTCCAAGCCAGACCAGCCAGAATAAAGGTTTTCCTTGTCCCCGTCCCCCAAACCTCTTCCTTCTTCCCTTTATCTTTGCTGTGCGAAGGTCTTTCCTTTCCTCCACTTCTTCCAACCCCTTATGTTCCTTGGCCTGATGGAGGTTACCCTGTTCACCTATTAAAATTACCAGAGGGGTGGCGGCGGTCATTTACACCTTAGTATGAATTAGATACAGTGGTTCACATTTTCTCAAGGTTATTTGCTCTGTGAGTCAATGAGCAGCCTAGGGCTGCAGTATAGACATTTGGGGCAGTTACAGGAGAATAGGAGTCAGGGATGGAGGGGAAGGCTAACCTTAGAGGGCCTCTGCAGAGCCTAGGCACTCACACACGCAAGCTGCCAACCCTGAGCCCTTACCCAGGCCCACGTTCTGGACAAAGCATTCTGAAAATGTGGTGCAGAGTGATTTATTGCATGACCAGGGACAAGAAGTGGCGAGTCCTGGGGCTGCTTAGCTGGGCAGGGAGAGGGGCAGGGAGCTCTAGAAGACAGCTGACGCCTGACTCCGTCTCTGCTGTGGTTCTTGTGAAGGAGTAATTCTGACTCCCAAGCCCGGAAGCAGAACTGCCTTGTGGAATGGGTTACCTGTGTGATGGGTGCAGCTGCCCCAGGTGAAGTCTGGCCATGGGGTTTGAAATCTCCTGGGCTCAGCCATCACTGCAGGAGGCCTTGCACGGCGTCAGGGGCTGTGGCTAAATGCACAGCCCAACCGCCCTGGAGCAGCCCGTCCATCTCTAGCCCTGGTGCTCAGACCCGTCAACCACACTTCTGTACCCTCACCCAGAGGGCCAGAGTCCCTGTGGCCCAGCCCACCCGCCCCTCTGAGCTTGTCCCCCACCAGCCTCTGCCGCCTCCAGTCTTGACCGAGCCTCGGGGCTTTCCCAGCTGTGGCCTCTGCCTCAGCTGTGTCCCCCGGACCTTCCCGGGGCTGGCTTCTGCTCAGATGTCACCTCCTCAGGAGGGCTGCCACCACCCCTGCCCCAGCCCCTCCACAGCTACCATCACCCCAGTACTCCTGTTTTCCCATTTGTTCTGTATCCCCCCCTTGCTGGCTGTGAACCCCATGGGAGCAGGGGCCTGTCTCCAGCCTGGCACTCAGGGTGCATGGGTCGCTGAGGGGCCAGGTTTAGGGGACCAGCGCCCCTCTGATCTGTGACGGTTGTGATGATAAGTAGCTATTACCAGCAGACAGGGCCTGGGGGTGGGGACTGAGCTTGTATTCTGTGTGGGACCCAGGCTGGGTGTTCTGGGTCCCTTCCCAGCACCCCAACAGCCTGCCTGTTACTGGGACCAAGGAGGAACAGGGCCTGACAGCCTATGTGACTTGCCCAGGGTCACCCTTCAGACACCCAGGGACTCACGGGAAGAGGCTGATCTTTGGGTTCTCTGGAAAGTTCCATGCCTATGGATGAGTTAAGAGCACTTCTAAAGCCCTCTGGGCCGCCCCACCCCCGGCAGCACATCAAGCACCTGCCATGTGTCAGGGCCACGGTGTTCCTCTCCTTGGTAGGGATAGGGGTGGGGGCGGGGCGAGCGCCCGGCCTTGGCCCTACCTGGCTAATGGCACTGTGCCGGCTTCTGCTCTCCTGTGGAGTCTAAGATATGGCCAGGGGCAGAGGTGCTGGCCATCCGGCCACTGTGACATTCCGCTCCACAGCGGGTCCGCACTCAGAGGCCCCCCCCCCCCAGCCCAGCCCCACTGCGGTCGTGGTGGGGGGCTCTGTCGGATCAGTGGGGAAAACCCTGCCCACCCTTACAAACATGCCGAGGGGCCTGGAAGCAAGGAAAGACAGTCGGGCTCCTGCAGGAGGCCCGTTAGCTGCTGGCATCAGAATGACTCCAGGGCTGCCCGTGCTGCTCACCTGCGGCCACAGGTATGTCCTCCTGCGGGGGGCCCTTGCCCTGGACAGGAAGCACCCACACACGTCATCAAAACCCTTGCGTGGATATAAAAACGGAGTTGTGATTGTCACAGGCTTTCCCAGGTCTCCTGAGCAGCTGTGACTGTCTTCCTGGCAGCAGGGCATGGCCGCCACCATGAGGAATCGCCCACCCCACCTCTGGGAACCTCGGAACCCTCTGTCCTGCTCCCGGCAGCCCACTGCAGCCTCTAAGCGCTATGTCCCCGAGTCGTGTTGTGTTACGGGACAGCTACCTGACGACGGACCTCCAGCCCCTCCCCTCTCCCTGCCAGCTCCCCGCGCTTGCAGGTGCACGCCCCGCAGTGGGGCAGCCCTCCTTCGCCCCCGTGGTCATCTTCCTGGTGACCCAAAGGGCTCGGCTGAGGAGCCACAGCCCCTGGAGTTACTGCCGGAGCTCACCGCATGCTCGCCTTCCCGGCCTCTCATTCTTCCGGGCCCATTGGCTTTCTGATGTCCCGGGCAACTGAAGGCTGTGTGCCTACGGGCAGGCCTTTCCCTTTGTGTCTGCACCTGGCAGCTCAGGGCTGCACAGTAGGGCCTTGGCACCCGCGCTGGTGGCCCAGGCGGTGAGGGAGGCCCCCTCCTGCCTGCAAGGCCCAGCCCTGCTCCCCCTCCCGGGAGGGCCCCAGATTAGAGGCCTGACGAGAACTTATCAATGCGGCTTTTGTGGCAGCTGAGCCAGTGGCCCTTCCCCAGCAGAGCGGAGCCATCAGCTTGAAATGTTAAGACAACAGCTGCTCCTGGGGCGCCCTGTTTGTGAGGGTTCCCTGCGGGCAGCTCAAGGGTGGCTGGAGGCAGACACAAAGTGACATGTGGTAGCAGGTCTTGCTCCGCGTGGCGCTAGTATCTGTGGATGCTGGCGAAGTGATTCACTCATTTGTGCTTTGCACACATATTGAGCAACCTGCCACGTGCTGGGTGGGCTCTGCCAGGTGCTGAGACCGAAGCGGATGATAAGGCGAGTGGGCGAAGCCTGTGCTCTGCTGGCGCAGGAGAGAATGAACAGTCCGGCAGCCAGCGCTCCGGGGCAGAGGAAGGGGCTGAGAGCGCCACCGGAGGGCTCCCTGGAAGGGCTTCTGAGCAGGCGCAGGAGGGAATGAACCCCTGTGACCCACCGCAAATGGTGCTCCGCGGTGGGGAGAGCCCAGCAGTCCTTTCAGGGAGCGCAGTCCCCTTGGTCAGGTCCCAGGGTAAACAAGGCTGTGACCCGGGGCAGCCGCAAGGGAAGGCCGCCCCCCTGGCCCCTCCCTCGAAAACGGGCCTCAGAGGTCGCTGATGCGGTGGAGACCCACCGAGCCCCCCTTGGTAAACTTGGTCCTAGAAAATGAGTCATGGCAACCACCCCGCTGAGGCCCATCAGTGGGCACCACGCAGGGTCTGCTGCCCCTTGCCTTCCTTGTGGAAGGAACTGGAGGCACCTGCATGCTCCCTGACAAAGGCTTGGCAGGGCTTTGCTTTCTGAAAAGGGGCCGGAGTGGGTCCCCACAGAAAGGAGGGGGCTTGGACTTTGCACGGCAGCGCTGAAGGCAGAGGCCAGCCTCTCCACCAAGTGGGGGGCCAGCAGAGAGCAGAGCCTGCACTGGGCATCAAATGGTGGCATGAGAGTAAATCAGTCAATCTGCCTCCAAGGGAAGGGGTGACTCTCAGGCCTGGCTGTTGGGAGCGATCATATTAGGGCAGGGGCAGTAGGCACCACAAATAGGTGGCCCTCTGACGTCTGCATGACCACAAGTCTTGCAGGGTCTGGGCATGATGAGCTATCGTCAGCGTGACCTTCTGGAAGGATGTCGGGATGAGTAATCACACGCAGGGGAAAAGGTCATACACTTTGGGCCCCTTTTTAAGCCTGGAGGGATGAGTTGGTCTCTGACTCGCGCGCGCGCGCACGTGTGTGTGTGTGCGTGTGTGTGTGTGTGTGTGTGTGTGTGTGTGTACTTACTGACTCCATAGATAGACACGGACCTTAGACACGGACCTCTGGGTTTTGTCTGTGTCAGCATAAGGGCTAAGTTAATGTACTGTGGCTCATAATGCATTCTGCACAGACAGACCTCAGTCACGGGGGTCACTCTGTCACACAGTCAAACATTTTGCTTCTTAAGAGAAAATGCTGAGGCCTGAGTCCATGGAAGAAATGGCCGATTCTGCGCCTTTGTGCTTGGCCCCTATGGTTCACTTCTGGTGTCATTTTCAGGCGTGACAATCTGGAGCCATTGCATGGTGACAAAATACGTGGAGCCTGGCACTGACAAGGGTGGGAGTGGGAGCAGAACTAGAGATGGAGAGAATCACGCATCAGAGGGGAGGTGGGGGTTCTGGGGGGAAGAGCAACGCCAGGAGGGGGTCTGAGAAGGCACAGAGGGAACGAGAGAGGGAGGGAATGACGCTACCAGGCACGGACCTGAGACTGTCCCCCTGGGGTGCCACGGGGTGGGCAGCTGGGTCGGATGCCCCCAGCCCCACGCACTCGGCGCCCCACCTGCCAGCCCAGACCTGACAGCACCGGGTCCCTGTGCACCGCACTGGCTGCAGCTCAGGGGTGCAGCGAGGGCCCGGGGGGATGCCCGTGGGTGGGCCGGGCGGGCAAGGTGAAAATAGAGAGCTCCCTTACCTCCTCCGCCTAAAAACCTGTGTGACCAGCGGTGCAATCAGATATGTCTTGTAACTAAAGACTGCTCTGTCACACTGTTTTGGACTGCACCTCCAGCTGGCCTTTAGGAAAGGTGGCACCCTCTAAACAGGTGGTGTTCAGATAAAAACCCAGTAAATTGGCCATTTTTCCTTAGACAATAAAAGGGTCTGATGTAAGCCTGCAGGCTTTGCGGCATATCTGGGCTCTTGATAACAGTCAGCCTTTTCCTGATGGTAAATCTAATTTGTGCTTATTGCAGAAATCCTAGAAAACACAGAAAAATATAAAACAGAAAATAAAAGCTATCCAATATAGTTTTCCCTAAGTAATACTAAAAGACTTTGTAGCTAAACTGTCCAATGCATCATTGCTGACCACACGTGGCTTTGAACCATTGAAATGTGACTTGTCCAAGCTGAGATGTGCCGTGAGTGTAAAATGCACACCAGATTTCAAATACTTAGTAGGGAAAAAAAGGATGTAAAATACCTCATTGATAATTTTTATGTTGGTTACACATTGAAAACAGTCTTTTTTCTGTGACAGGCTACTGTCAGGTATTTTATTAATTTCATCTGCTTAGTGTTACTCTTACAGTGTGGCTATGAGATTCTCAAATTACCTCTGTGGCTCCCATCACATTCCTGGTGGATGGTGCGTCCTATGGATCCAGGAACTCACTCTGTTATACGCTGGAACGTTGCATCAGGAGGGTGAGGGCTGAGGTCCCAGACAGGGAGGCTCACAGTCTGAACCCCAGTGTTGGGTCGGGAAGCCCCGCTGACTTGTTGGTGAGCCCGTGTTTCATTCATGTCTCCTGCAAATTCGGGCTGTCTCCTTGGGCTGGGTGCCTGGGACTGCAGGACACGGTGTCCACCTGTGAGAGGCTGGCAGCCCTGAAGCTTGGCTGCCGGATGGAAGCTCTAGACTTAGCAGAGGCCCTGACACAAAACAGAAGCTGGCACCCAGTCGTGCACACTTGAGGGCACAAACAAATGACCCATGGTGTCCAGGGAGAGGCCTTCCGTGGCCCCACAAAACCCTTGCAGATCTCCTATTCTAGTCCTAGGGTGCCACAGCAAAGTGTCGGGATCTTCCTGCATAGATGCCTGAACTTCGTGGCTGTCCGTGAAGCTCTGGCTTTGTGGATCTCGGGGGAAGCTGATGAGGCCACACTTGTCCAGAGGGTTCGCTCCTGAGTGTGCCAGGCTGCCGCCATCACCTAAGGATGGATCTTTGGAGGAATTAAGGGTCTCATGTATCACTGACCCCAGGGGCAATAATGCAGGCATGAAGCACGTGTGCCCCGACACGCACACAAACGCACACTCATGGAGCACGTGGGGGAAGCGGGCAGTGGGGCTGCCTGCATGAGTCACACATTGTCAGTCGGGCAGGGTCCCAGTCCCACCCCAGCACAGCAGCCAGGGGGCCTCAGCCACCTTCGGCCGGGACCTAGGGCTGTCCTGTCTCTCAGAGGCCCCGGACCCGGGAGTTGGTGCACAGTGGGAAAGGCTCTGCCCCTGGAGTAGTGTAAGCTCAGAGAAAGCTGTGGGGGCTGCGAGTGTTTGTTCTCTCTCGTCACTGCCCAAAGGGAATCACCACCCCTGCGAGTGGAACAGTCTGAGGCTCTGTCATTCTTTCAAGCCCCTGGAAGCAGAATTAAACTGGGAGCGGCTTTCCTTCTGAGAAGCAGGAGTCAGCAGAGCCTGGCTTGGAGTTTCCACAGTGCTGGGCTGGGTGGTCCGGGTTAGCGCAGCCTCTGTGCTAGGGAGGCTATCCCCAGCATCTCCTGTCCCCCCGGGCAGGTGGTGTTTCTGATGCCCAAGCGTCCATCAATGCAGGGGTTAACGCCGTCATCCCCACGGGGTCACTGAGGAGCAGGGAGCCATCTGAGGCTCAGTCTGGACTGCTCCCCAGCCTCCCAAAGAACTCTGAGGAGCTGAGCATGGGGCTGGCGCATAGTAAACACTGTCCCACTGCATGTTCAATAAGTAAACGCAAATGGGGAACTCTACAGTGTGCCAAGCAGGCAGGAAAGTGAAATAAAGCAGAGCATGAGGATGATGGAGCAGAAATGACCTCCAGCGCCTGGATGGAGCCGGGAGCAGGGCCAGCGGAACAGAGATGAGTAATAGCAACTGAGCGGGACAGAAAGGCTTCCGGGAGGAGGTGGCAAGCGGCTGAGCTGGCCAAGCTCTAGCCTACCAGAGCATGTTCTTAGAGTTCTTAGGAATTCTCAGAAGGCAAGCCCAGGGTTAGCAAAACACATGAAGCGTCTGAAAGCCCTTTGATGGAAACAACGCCCATGGTTTCTGTTGGGGAAAAAAATCCCCCAGACAGAACTTCATGCTTTGGCTGTGTTCCAGAACTTTGGGCTGGCGGCTTCCATGCCCGCGGAGGCTCCCTGTCCAGCTGCAGCTCCCTGGCCTCTGCTTTGGGTTTTGACATCATTCGAGGGAAGGAAATGACAGTGGTCCTGCCACCCCGCCCACCTTATCTCAGTTATAAATTAATTCTGCAGGCCAGTCTTCCCCAGGGATAATTACACCCGAGTGCTTTTAGCACATTAGGTCATATACCTGTTTGGTGTTTGGTGCTTTCTCACGTGGGTTGCCCACCACGGGTACTGGAAGGGGGTGTGGAACCAGCGCGGGAGCCGGATAAGGGCTCTGGGCTCCCACAATAGCCCTGAGTCATGAGCGGCTCACTCATTCCATGTTCCTTCCCCAGCCAGGCTGCCCGTGAGTCAGCAGCGTTTATTTAGCACCTCCGAGGACAGGATGGTACACGGAGAAAGCTGAGGGGGCCCTGGCCAGTGCCGGTCCCACCACCATCACTGACTGAGAGCGGACTGGGGGCGTCTG